AGTTTCCAGGCTTTTATGATTGACTTGCAAAGGTCAGTATCACAATCAGATGGTGGGGAGTTGTTTAGTCCATGGAAAAGTCATCCATCAGACAGTATAAATCCATGATTGGTTTCAATTTATTGACGAACACCATTATTCCTTGGAATGTCTGCGACGAGACTAGGGCAAGATCAGATCGAGCCATATCTACACATTTGTAGCCCTCCATGTATGCCTATATTAATCCCATATTATCTTTTCATAGGCACTTGGGGAAAAAAAATTAAAAACAAAAAATGAATCTGCTTAAAAAATAGAAAAGATATACAAATTGCGTTGGATAAGCCTATCCTGTTGTAATATTTGGACACGTAAATATCAAGACGTGAGTGATGATACCTCAAATATTATTATATTGTGTTTGTTTTTGCATTCAAAAAGTATTTTTAAATTAAAAAAAAATATATGATTTTGGATAATTTTAATGTCTTGATATCAAAAATAAATTTTAAAAATAAAAAATATTATTTTGATACATTTCTAAATAAAAAATACTCGAAAAACAACAACCTCACAATTTCAAACACTACTTTAAAATAAAAAATTTGCTTTAAAGATGAAAAGTCCAAAGCAAGTTTTTTTTTTTTAAATACAGTATATTTCAAGTATCACCATTAATTTTTAAGTTAATAATTTAAATTAGATTAGATATATAAAACAATAAGGATTTAAGTTTTTTTTCATATAATAAAGTATATCCATTTTATTTAAACTTTGTAATATAAATTTAACAAATATGAAAAAATAAGATAGCAGGTATAATATGAGAGGATCCAACTAGTTCCATAAACCTTTCAATAAAAACAATAGAGAAAATCAACATGTAAAAATATCATTTTAAATGAAGTTTTATTGTTCTGAAATTGAATTTGTTTTTTCAAAAATATTGAACAGTGCATATTCTTTACTATTTACTACTCTACTTACATGTTGGTAAAGATGTTAAAAAAATCCTAGAACCAAATAAAAGTAGGTTAATCAAATGTGATTAATTAGGTTCAATTCAAATAGAAATTATAGATTTTTTGTTATTGGTTAAGATTAAGGTTTACATATAGATCATTAATCGAATTAAACTTGCTAGCTTTTATATATGCACTTATATTTTTTTTTATAAAAAAAATCTTTAGGTAATGTTTATTTATTAATAGTTGGAAATAATATTTTATTTTTTTTACTAAATTTTGCTTATTAATTAACTTACATGACATTATTATATGGGAATATATTTCAAATTAAGTTAAATATTATCATATTTCATAGAATAACTATAATTATGGAATGGATCAACTAAGAAAGAATCAACTACAAGGTACCACATCATTTTGCAAATAATTTTTGTTAGATTTAGGGGGGGCTTCTCTTATTATTTAGCCCAAGGTAACGGGTAAAATATCAACATTCAAATCCCGCTAGAAACCACTCAAGTTTAATCTGAAATATATATTTATATTATATACATATCTTAATATTAATATAAAACACACACATATAATATTTTATTTTTTATTAAATTCTAAATAATAGTAAGATAATGGATACTCAAGTGATGCCGGAAACTTAATAGATAATTTATGAATATTAATGTTTTTACCCAATAAATAATAAATATGATATAAATACCAAGAAAAGTTTAAAATAATAATCTTTAATATTGTTTTTAAAAGTTTAATATGATCTCTAATATCAAGAAAAATAACTTAAATAGAAAAATAATAATTTATATCATTATTTGTTCTTTTGATTTTAAATAACATTTTTAATGCGAGCTAGCACTTTATTATTCTTAAAAAATAGCAATAAACATCTGCAAACTTTTATTAATAATTTTTTTATTTTCAATTTTTAATTATGTCTATAACAACAACATCAATATTTCAACCTATATATAAGTACAAGAAGATTAAAACAGAATCTTACTTGTTTGAAAATAAAATTTAAATTTAATTAATTGAAAAGAAAAGGTTCCCATCAAGTTTGATTTATATATGAACAGTATTATATTTACATAAGTAAATTATGGATAGTACTATGCTAGACCAGTATTGTCATAATAAATTCTTATCTACAATTTATGACTGGTTCTTATTGTTCTCTATCTCTCTCTCTCTCTCTCTCTATATATATATATATATATATTTATATTCTCTATATTCTGTTGAATCTTTTCCTACCCAACAACCAACCAACGGCTGTAGATAACACACGGATCGATCCCAATCGATTCATCTACTGCATGAAGCTCACTTTTTCAGACCGGCCCCATGCTACAGGGATTAGCAAGTAGCGAGCAGCAAGCTTGAAGTCTCCAAGGCTCACAAAACTCCTGAGTAGATGGGAGCTAGCTAGCTAGATCTTTATTAGGACATGTGTGTATGAAAGGTGCAAGACAAGCAAAGGCGTGCATATACATGAGAATGACACAGTGCTGATCATGAGCTCGAAGATCATGTCACTAACTCACTAGTGCTTCTGTCCTTCATGTGAACGTGAAAATGTCCACATTATAATTCATCATCCTCATCTCTTCCTTTCTCTCTAAACTTTGGGACCGCAGCAAGACCACGACCATTCTTCTTTAGTTGCACACTTGATGATCGCATTCTGTCTCTCATCCTCACGCGTATATAGATTCCAAAGTGGAAGTGTGTTTTTGCAGGTCCGTGATCATGTACACTTTCTCTCTAGATGAAAACACAAGGATTATTATACGTAGGTTTTGAGTTTGCCCGAGTTAATGGATGGGTTTTAATTTCTCTAGCTAGCTATGTGCGACAGCTGCTATGAAAGGAGAAGATCCAAACCACTTGCTCACTTTTTTTTTCTCTTTTTTCCCTTCCTTTTAGAATCTTTGTGAGTGTTGGGTAGTGATACTTTCTAGTTTTTTGAATGATTGATGCTATCATTTTCAAAAGAAGAAGAAGAAGAAGAAGAACATACTTATTTTTTCTTTTTCTAAACTTGAATCATAAGAAGTAGCATATGTTTTTGCATGGTTTAGCTTTTTCTATTTCTAGTGGCATCGAAGTCAACTATTTTTCTCTACTAGTACATGCATGCTCCTCCTAGTTCTAGCAAACCATTTTTCATTCACTATCTCCCTTTGTTGCCTTGTCCATTTACTCTAGATTGCAATCAAAATTCCCACTCAAGAAATATACAAGGACATTCCCATTATCACAAATGAAATAGACAAGGATATCAATCCTTTGGCTGATGCTAAACCAACAAGGGTGAGATTTTGTTGCGTATTGCATTTTGGAGCGCAATTCCAACCTCTTCCAAGGGAATTATTGAAAGGGATTTGGCTTTGGAAAGATCAGGAACACCCAGAAACCAAAATTAGGAAAGCCCATTTTGTTACAAAAAAAAAAAAAAAGCAGTCAAGTGCGGTGAGCGTGGATCGAACACGCGACCTTCAGATCTTCAGTCTGACGCTCTCCCAACTGAGCTATCCCCGCTGTTGCTGACTCCTCCTCTTCCATTATAAGTTGATAATCATTCGAGAACTTGATTATGTGGTCCATGCAGCATAAATGATATCATTGTCACTTTTTAGGTTCATGTAACAACACTTATTTGAAAAAAATAATATAGATGGTGGAGGAATACTTCTAGAGATTTCCTTGTTGGCAAGGCAATGAGCTTGAATCATTAATATCAATAACATTTTTGAGATGATCACTCCTAGGCTTCAACATAGAAAAATTGACTGGGGCATCGATATGGGCCAAAGAGGCATTGCCATATAATTCGACACAAGTGGTCATGTACTCTAGCTAACACTTAAGTCATCTTTGCCATTGTCCACTTGCCTCCTAAGCTTTGTAGAGGAGGAGAATAGGCAATTGGGAGCTGGGCCTGATTGCAGCAGCTCAACCTGTGCTTGTGGCATAAGTGGGCTAATTGATTCAAAATGGAAGCACAATATGGGTGATGAAATTTTGTTTTATTTTTAGTGCTTTTTTTCCACGGTAGAGCTCATGGATTCAAGTAGAATCATACCAAGTCAGAGGTCAAGGTTCCCTGTGCGTATTTGAACTCCAACATTATGAAGAAATTAAGTGGCGGGTGGGGGAAAATGTGGCCTTTTGCATTGATTATTAAAAGAGACTTCACGCGTGTTCGAGGGGATGGTAGATATTGCTTTTAAAGTGTTTCTCGAATATATTTTTTTATATTATTATAACAAATTTGAGATTTTCTCGTCTATTTACTTTTGAATATTTTTTAGCAGTTAAATTCTATTTGAAATTTGAATTAATACATTGAAAATTTTCAAAAAAAAAAATGATTTAACCTGCCAATGAAGCATATTTTTAACTACAAATTAAATCAAATGGCCAATAAAAAACTAATTAGAAGGCGATAAGTATTAGCTAGTTAAGTAAAGCTAATACAACTATTTCTTTAACCTTTTTTTTTCTCTTTAGAACTTGTAAACTGTAAACTAGAGACTAAAAAATTAAACCGAATTTATGCATGAACTAAATTATTTATTACATTGAAATCGGATTATATTTATAAGTTTATTTTAAAAAATTTGAGTTTAATTTGATCATGTTTTTGAAGATTTTTTATTTTTTATTTTTTATTTTTTAAATTTATTTTGATATGTTAATGTTAAGAATAATTTTATATATGTTATTTGATTTTTTAAATAAATAATATTTATTGCTATTTTAAATACTCTCTAATTGTTAATCTAAGAAAAACTCAATTGATCTCACAAAATCAATTAGGTAATATCAATATTTTTTTATATAAAATAAAAATATATACATTTTAATTAGTGATTTAGAAGTTAACCTAATTATTCAATGCCTCAGGCACCTTCGGGGCAGTTCTGACAGCTATGACTGCAATCAAAGGCAACAAGATAAGCCCAATATTGAATTAGATGAGTCAGAATCAAAGGCCCATTTCACTTTAAAGGCGGCATAATGACCAGCCCAAAACAGTCCTTTTAAGAAAACCCTAAATCTTCACCATATAAATTCCTTACTATCGCTGCGGCATAAAATTTTGTCCCCGGTGATAGGGTTTTTGCAGCTCGAGAAAAAGAAGAAATGGTACTCCTCCTTTCACTTCCTCTGAACAATAGTAAACAACAGCGTTTGTTGCTTGATGATATGATTCTGACGTGTTTGTTTTGTAGGGGAAAGGAACAGGGAGTTTTGGTAAGAGAAGGAACAAGACACACACTCTCTGTGTGAGATGCGGTCGCCGCAGCTTTCATCTCCAGAAAAGCCGTTGTAGTGCTTGTGCCTTTCCTGCTGCCCGTGTCAGAAAATGTAAGTTGCTCCCTTTTAATAGATCAAGAATTGATAGATAGATGTTATTTTTTTATTATTTAAAGCAAGATTTGGTTTCTCGATTGCTTTTCGGTGTTTATTGTTATGATCTTGTTGCTTGCCTTTATGTTCTTTGAATCTTTTTAACATTTTTGGGATTTTTTGGATTTTGATTTACTTTGGCCAGCTTTTAAGACCATTTTTTCGATTTACTCTGATTATAAGAATGAGAGATATAGAGCTGTTTCAACCGCAGAAAGCATGTTGTTTTCGCATCATAGGGTTTGTTTTTAAGGAATTCTTCTGTTTGAGCGAATTTGGAATTGAGGGTTGTTTTTGGCAAACTGTAACGAATTTGTATGAATGTTTTGTCTTTGGTTTCCTAGATAACTGGAGTGTGAAGGCTATCCGCAGAAAGACCACTGGAACTGGCCGCATGAAGTACCTCCGTCACCTACCACGCAGGTTCAAGACTAACTTTAGAGAAGGTAAAATTCAATTCACTTCTTTGTTGTGGGAAATATCGGGGCAGAGATTGTGGGCAATCTCCTGCTGAGTTGTTGTTTCAGTTTTGATATGTTATTCTTTGGTTTATTTAGGTACTCAAGCTACTCCAAGGAACAAGGGAGCTGCAGCAGCATAGTAAGGCTTAGAAGGGCAATGAAAGTCTGTTTTGCTTCAATGCTTTTAAATTTGCAAACAAGTTTTGAATTGTTGTTTAATTGCTGTTACTTATTAGCCATTGAAAGATGTTTTCAACTATGGAGACTTGAAAAAGTTTACCATTCTAGTATGGTTATGGATGGTTATCACCTTTTCACGTATTCTATAGGTCTGCCCATCGCCTTTATGTCTACATTCGGATGATATTTGATAGTTTGACAGCAATGAAATGCATCTATGGTGCTTAAAGAGCATGGATTGGTTGAATGGTTTTTACTAACAAAATCTTTGCCAATTCCAGCTGCAGTCCATGTTAAGGACTGAGCTTACTTGCTCCAAACCTGATTGTGTATGTTTTGAGAGGCTTGAGTGCAGGATTTTGTAGTCTCGGTGTGCTTTGTGCTCAATTACAAAGCATCATTTTGATTCAATATAGTTAGACCATGTTAAGGAAAACAAAAATTTCACGCTCATTCTTCTGGATACATCTGCCCTGCCCACCGCTTTTGATCATATGTTGCTGATCCCAATCTTATTCATCACTGGCATAGGAAGCGTCTGGTGTGCTAGTGAGATTCTCGATTAGCCCCATATGATTTTCAATTTATCCATGGACACAACTTTCGTTGTAAACATTAGACCATGTATGGCTCAGGGCTATTTACTGGTAAGCATTATCTTCGTTGGATGAAATCTAAACCTACCTGTTGTGAAACCACCTGATTGGTTAAACGTCCGCAACATTCACGCCCTGTTGCTATCGCTTTAACGAGGATTGAACTTGAGAAGGGTGTCTTTTTCATATTCGTTTCAAATATTACAAGCATGATTTAACCTTGTTGATGTTTTGTTAATACGCATGCAAGCAGTCAGAAATTCAGATGCCGATTTGAGAGTTGTGATTTTTTTAAATAATATTTTTTATTTAGAAATATATTAAAAGAATATTTTTTTTATTGTTAAAAAGTTATTTTTAACATCAGATTTAAAAACACCAAAAAAAAAATATTCATTTAAAGCAAATAAAAAAAATCAAATTTAAACACACAAACAAACAGGTCTAAGTTCACTCCACAAGCCTAGAGACACATCACGTTTACGCAGCTTATTCTACAAGCCACAATAAGCTTAAGGTAAATTACATGTACTCATGCTTTTCAAAACATTTAATCCCCGGAATTTACTACTTAATCAACTTTAACAGAAAAATCCTGGAGTTAATTGGTTAAACCAGTGCGAGAGTGAAACTCAAACTTTATAATCACTGAAATCAAGTCATCGCTCCATTTTTGTAGCCAGCGAAACTTACAGCCACTCCAGCACTGCCTTCTCATCACCGGAGCAAATACATACTGCATGGTGAACAGCTCAACCTGTCCAGCTCTACCCTCCAATGTGTTTTTCGTTTACACTTCTTTTGCATTAGTTAGCACTCTGGGACTTGCTAGAGCACGACGGCAATCTGTTAAACACAACAACCACCTCACGTCAATTAAGGTCTCCGTCCCATCTATCTTCTATGGGGCATCAAATGCATGGAGTTCAACAGGAAGTATAAAGCTTTCTTAATGATTATAATCATCTTGTAATCCACTCGACAAATTTGGGAATTTAGTTGCAATTCTTGCCAGGATTAGGAATGGCAATGTTACCAGAATGGTCTGTCCATGATGTAAATGGAAACATGGCTCTATTCATATAGGAATACTCACCAGGGAATGTGGGAACGAACATATTTGATTCCACATTTTTTTATCTCAGTGTTTGAGCCAGTAGTTCCGCAATTGAGCCATGTGCAGCAGCATCTCATCACGACCTTGATTGGTAACACCGCTGGTCATAATCCAAGGAGGTGCTGTCTCAAAGAAGCCACGTATGAGCTCCTGAAATTCATTCACATTTTCTTCTGGCCTTTTCCCACCATTCCTTTTCTTCTTCCGCTTGTCGCATTTGGTGAAAATTAATGTCATGGGAACCTGAGAGACAAGAAAATCACCTTTATAGACATCCTCCCCTTCCCTCCAACCTTGACTTACATATAATAGCAAGTGCTATCTTTAATAGGGAGAGTTTCTAATCTACATGTAACTATTAGCAAGTTAGCTGAGGAGATTTAAATCAGAGGTGAAACCCTAATGTCCATTCATATCAATACATGAAAAAGAAGATGCAACTGAAGCCACTGGCAAGTGTTGTGCAAATTTAAGCCTGGAACGCCCTAACCAAAATCAACAGTCTCCAGAACAGCTAGGGAAAGGAGAAGATATAAACTGTAATTGCACATGCATCGTCAGCAAAAAACACACTCAAAAGCTAATGGCGCAGCAGGTCATCAGTTGATGCATTCCTTTTATCTCATTCTAGCAAGAAAGATGAGTCTACCTGATTCTGACCCAGCCAGCTGGCATATTCAAGATCAATCTTCTTTGCAGGAATACTAGCATCAATAAGAAGGAAAACTGAGACCAAGGTTGAGCGACTGAGAAAATAATCTTTAGTAAACTTATTCCAATCTGTCCGAAGTTCCTGAGGTGCAGATGCATACCTGTTCAGAGCAGAAACAAATGCAATACAGTTAAAACTCTCTGACATGAATGATGAACATGGACCTATAAGTTTTGGTTGGATAAAAATCAGCATCATAAGCAATAACTAAATGATAAATATAATAAGAAAAAGGAAAACACCAAACTTTGATTTGGCAGCTGTCGAATCCTAAGATCAACTCAACGATTGTCACAAAATTGTTTTCAAGTAAGATGTATGCAAGCATGAGGGATACAAGGTAGAGCATTGTAAGCACAATAAAACAAATATATCCTATGCACAAAGAAAATTCATCTTTACTGTCTCAATAGAATAGAAACACCACACAGTCGTGAAGAAGCAGTTCACAATCCAATACAACTGGACAAACTCGAAAAAATTAAGAGCTCAATGCAATACAAATAGATGCTTAGGCATCAAAAACAAAGATTTACTTTCCGTAACAACTTTATTATTAAAAAAAAAAAAATGAGTTCATTTGCCGCAACAGAAATTCAAGACCATTAAATACTGCCAGCAGAAATAGCAAGAATGACTGGAAGACAGAATCCATCATTGCACTCTGCAATTCATACACGTTCAAAGCCCTTTTCTGTCTTAATGGAATAGAAGACTTACATTATTTTGAGAAGACATTGCAAATTCAATAAATTGGACTACCTAGATAAATCAACAACAAAAGTTAAAATTCAAAAAAAAAAAACAGAGAGAAAAGGGGGGTAAAATTAACGGCAAGGCATGAGAAAGCGAAATAGGTACTTGTAAGCATCAACCAACAGATAGTCAAGTTTCATTATCAACTAAACTTAGTTTATTCTCCAGGAAATAGATTCTAAACCCGAGAACACCATTCCATATTGCACCTATACAAAATTCGCACATGATCAAAACGAACCAAAGCATTGAAACCATACCCATATCCAGGCAAGTCCACCAAGTACCAGCTATCATTGACCTTAAAATGATTGATGCACTGCGTTTTCCCTTCAACAAGAACAAAAACACAAATAATATTGAGTTCTAAGCAACAAAGTCTCCTCCTTTAGAGTACCCTAAATTCAATACAATTCATTTCACTAGTCACAACACAAATGCTACAATAAAAAAAAATCCCATCATTTCTTTCTGCAAAATTTATCGCATAACACAAAATCGACATGAATCAGTAAAGAAAAAAATATAAGTTTATTATGAACTGACCAGGTTTTTTGGAGGTGAGTGCAAGTTTCTTTCTTCTAACAAGAGAATTAAGAAGAGAAGATTTTCCAACATTAGACCTTCCAACAAGAGCAAACTCGGGCAAGCCATCAGAAGGACAATCTTCAGTTTTGACACTACTTTTAATAAACTCAGCTTGAACAACCCGTGCATCCCTTGCATACTTGCTCAACACAATATTAGATCCTTTCAAAATCCTAGCACTTAGACCACTATTCTCGTTGATTGAAACCTCAGTGTCTGGTGGGATAAATAGTTTGTCAATTGAAAATTGGGTTTGGGTTTCTTCTCGGGGTGCCAAGAAATTGTGGGCTTCGGTGATGGGTATAGGTTCTGTTGTGGTTAGTGTGGATTTGAGTCTTGTAAGGGTAGGTAGTTTGAGCTTGGTGAGGAGAGGGAGGTTGATATTGGTGTTGTAAAGAGAAGGTGGGCAGTGAGTGAATTTTGGTAGCTGAGAAAGAGCCATTTCTATGTGTTTCTTCGCATGCGGGTGGAAGCATCAGC